TATGTGTACGGAACATGTAACATGCCATACACAATATATACATATAATGTATATTATAATATAATGTATATGTATATTATATTTATTTTATTTATTTATATATATATATATTTATATTTATATATTTTTAAATATATCCTTTTATAGCGTATATTACGATTTAGTTTACTTAAAATTAATACTTTCACGTTTATCATATATATATAAATAATATATATTTTAAGCATTTCCAGAACTTCACGCCATCTACAATTGCGCCCGAATACAGTAGCGTAGCAAGCTCATCAGACACTCTTAGTCAATCTCTTATACACGGCACTCTTAAAATGTATTTGAAAAATTGAATCAAAATAATTAAAAATTACTTCTGTAACACTTGAATAATTATGAAACTTTTTTTTATATAATTAAGATTATCGCAATATATGGTTGTTTTTTCTATGAGTGACAAAAAACAAAACCAATAAATATTAAATGTTTCGAATAACACAATTAATATATGTGTTACTACAAGATATCTTTTATGTAATAGTTTTTTTGTCGCTTATAAATATTATAATTAATTTTCTATAAATAATAATAAATGTAAAATTGTGAATAACATATTAATTATTAGCATGAATAAGGAATATTTTTGTATCTATTAACAAGAAATATAACGATATACATGTATAACAATAAAATATTTTACTATACTTTATAATTTATCGCAGAAAATTTAGATACAAATGTGTTAAAAATTTTAAATATTTAAAATAAGCAAAATAACTTAAAAATTATAACAAGTAACAATTATATTAATTAAATTTATCCTTATTAAAAATATTAATAATATTATAATAATATTATAAGATCATAAATATTGTACTCATAAAAACTAATGATATTAAACTTTTTTTAATAATGTTATATCCATTGGTAACAAATATTCTTTCATAATATAACATGATAATACATAGGTTTAATATAATACTCTCCTGATTAATATTTGTGAATAGTTATTAATCAAAATTTTGAATCAAAAACATAATGAAATATATATCATTTTCATATTTTAATGCGACTTTCAATTTTCTTTTATTTGTCATTTAATATTGCATATATAGTATTTTTGATTATACATATATGTAAAGCTAATTATTATTTAAAATGATACAGGATACACCGAAGAAAGCAAGCGCGATATTTAGAGCTCTAATCATAATAGTATCCATAAAAAGTACAGTGTAATTCCATCTGACGGATTCTCAACTTTACCAATGTAATTAAATCCAGAAACAATTGGTTCCTTTCGTATTCAATATATTAGAGCGCTGCGATCGGCTTACCCCGTATTTTTGTTTTTCTTTATTGTCATAAAATTATTATCGGAGCTATATATTTATATAAATATATCAGTATTATTGTTCGAACAGCATTAGAACTTATCCTACGTATCATTCGTAGTGATTATAGTTAATGTGTATCTCCAGTTCAACTCCACTTCTTGATTTAACAAACGGATAAACGTTAGGCCAGTTACTACTTCGATACAATAGCATATATAATATATGTCTGATGTAGCACTGAAATGCGAGTCACGATTTAAAAAAAAAAAGATTCAAATTGTGATTGAAAAATCCAAATTATAGCAGAGCAGAGTCATAATAATTATGCTATATTTATATGATATAAAATATTATTTGAACTAGATCATTATATTTTATTCAAATACTTTTATTATTTTAAAATAGTAATAGTTTTTCTTTCATCTTATGCTTTATTACTTTTATAATTTTATCATTTTAGAGTCTTCATATTTTCATAATTAATAGTAATTAGTTAGTTATTTTCATATTTTAATAAACTACATTTTTTTTAACTCCATTTCTTCAATTTTTATTAATATTTTAATAATCTTATTATTTCAATAAGTATCTTGGTCTTTCATATCTTTCTTAAATAATCGTTTCTACTTTTTATCATATTCGATTTTCATCATATGTATGTATTATCAAAATTATTCATAGTTCATTCATTATTCAATTGGTTCATTCGTTTATTTATTATATTGTTTTATAAAATATTATAAATAAATTATTTTTCAATATTGTTGTTTATTATTTACAAACGGACTCAAACTCTCTTAATAGTTCATATAATATTTCAAAAAATAGTCATTCTTACTTTGATTTTTTAAGAAATAACTATAATTTTATATTAAAAGATAAATTTGACTCTACTCCACAAATATAAAATTATCGGTATACGAATTAATTAATTAGAATATTTATTGCAAAATCCTAATCAAAATGTGATACTTTCACGTTATTTCGATAATAACTAAACACGCTACTTTCTTCCGCTAACGTAATGACAAATCGTTCCGCTTGGCGTTTGAGTGGCAAATATAATGGCGCATTACATTGCGTGTAGTTCGTTAGAACGCATGTCATTTGAATTTCCGGCTTTTCACCGAATGAAAGAACCGCGGAACGAAGGCGATACCACGGAAATGTCAATGTATTAAAAATACATTCGTCATTATATTGTCCGTATCATTATTACAATTATACTGATTATTCTTAAGTAAGTAAATCGTGACTCTGACATTACCTGTCGGTAATATTATGCTCGGCAGAAACTGTTACAACAGCATAACGATTTTAACATAATATACGAAATCGTCGAATATAGTGTTCGACGAGAAAGCTTTATTCACGGTCTCAAAGAATCTTGTCATTCAATAAATTTTGAAATTAGCATTTTGAAACATGTTAATTTACTATTAGGTAAATCAATCGAAAATATTTTTTTGCGTTTTAGAACGCATTGAAGAAAAAAGCTTATGTAACGATTGTTAACTCTTCGTTTCGCATAATTGCTAACGTTAAAATCTATACATATATAATATAATAAGATATAAAAGTAATTATTGTCAATATAATTTTGTTTAAGACATGAAAATTTTTTTACTAAAGTTGCTGGTAGTTAATATTTTTTTATCAAGCTTAATAAGATACGGTTTAATAAATTATTTAAAAAAGTATAAGCATGTATGTATTTTCATTGTTTTATAACATTGTATTATTGGTCATTATATTTTTAAAAATTTTTTTTATTGTCTTAGAATTATTATTTTCGTATTTTTTTTTTTTAATTATTGTCTTGAAAATAAACGAAGAGTTAACGTATTCTTGAAAAATCTTAACAATGAATTGCATAAAAATACTAGTTTGTTGCATTATTATAACAAGTGCATGAAATTACAAAATATTATTGTCGACACCGAAATATCTAAAAAATAAATTATTTCAAAGCGAATTTTTAATCTCTAGCAAATTTTCAAAACATTTTTTAATGCTGGCATTTCGTTTTCAGCAAATTTTTCGTCTATTGCGATTACTTTCGATTATCGATCGCCATATACGTTGCCTCCAACGATATATACTATACATACATACATATATATGCGTATATATAATAATATAATATTATTTTATATATTATATAGTATAACATATGATATTTTGTGTAATAACTCTTTCGTGTACTAATATATTTATGAAGATTAACAGTTAATGCTATGCTATATTATTTACACATTGTTTATAAATATCGAAATTTATATTAATTATAGAATCATTGCTTTTCTATCAAAATCTCTTCACGTGCTTGTTTCCAAAGACTATGGAAATTATAACTATAAATATAATATAGACAAAAGAAAAAAAAAATTCATTCTATAAAAATATAAAGAGTATAATATTATATAAAGAAATGAATAAAAATCTGTAAATTAATTTAATTTGTTCGAAACTTATAATAGAAAATATTATTCTAATTATTTTACGAAAAAGAAATAATATTATCATACAAAAATTTTGATACGAAAGAGTTAATATGATTAGCTTAAAAGATGGTATATGTAACATGGGCTCAATGCATACATATGTATATGTGCGTATGTGTATATGTATATATATTAATTACAATCACGACACACGATCAAGAAAATGTATAATATAATCTAATCTTATTCATCAATTAGCGCATTAAATTATCTGTATTTATTGGCCATATATATATATATATATATATAATATTTATATATAATATCTCATATTATGTGCCTATAATTTTTTTAGAAAGATATCGCGCAAATTGACTAATCTCGTGAATTTTCGGGCAACGAAAAAAAAAACTCTTCAAATAATAAAGATATAGTATTTTATGATTTGGTTCGACGTGTATAATGAACTTTCGATCGATCGTTTTTAATATAGATATATATAATTAGTTTTTCCAATTATTATTATTCTTTGTAAAATTCCAAAGAATTTATTTACAATTATTATATAATATCAAAATTATCAAACCTCTCTTATACTTCTCTTCTCTCTGACACGAAATTTTACTAATAAAAATATATATAATTATGATTATAATTTTAATCACGATATAGATATAATTCGAGTTTAATGTATAAGTTGTCTGAATATGGAATAAATTTTTATCTTATTTATATTGATAATCACAAAATTAGTTTATGAAATAAAGAATGTATCTTTTTTCACAATATTCGATTTAACTATAATGATTTTTTAATATTTTAATTCGATTTTAATTTCAATTTATAAACGACCGATCGATGTATATATTTTTCAACGTACGATCTATATACATTTATATCGTTACGATTCATTCACGAAACAATATAATAAATTGAATATCATTTTATTCTCAACACGCATATATTCTGTTCTTCAAAATTGATGATCAAAATCCCTAATATTCGAATTTAGTAACGAAATATATATATACTTTTTGTACGTATATTATGTGTGTTTGTGTAAATGCCCATGTGTGTTTGTGTAAATGCCCAAATATGAATATATGTTTGTGTAATAATATGAAATACAAACACCTAGGACAATATATTATGTATAATAACGCGACGTATTCCTAATTCTCGAACTGACGTTCGAACTTTCATGGATATACTTTCATCAAATACGTACAGTAGAACTCGATGTATCCGAACCGTGGCACCATTGTTCTAAAAAAACTCCAGGATCTCGATAGCGTCTATACACCATTTTCAAGAAACATTTCAACATTCACAAGAAACCTCGAGTAACATACCGACATATTCACGAATTTCTATATTGTGATAGCTAAACTGTGTAACCTCTTCAAACACAACATTCACTGTACATCACGCGTAAATTATCTAAACTTCAAGAGCGCATTCTAGTGGCGATTTCAATGAAAACTATGAATCGATTATACTCGATTTAACTCGATTAATAGTCGATTAATTTATCACTTGCTTTATACTACTATTTTTGTATTGTGTTCGAATCTATTAATCGAGTTTCATTGAATATAGATTATATTAATTGTTCGTTGTTAAAGATAAGTTCTGTATCAGTTTATTTCATATTTAGTATTTCCAATGATGATCTATTTAATAAATATACTTTTCTATATTCAGAAAAATCACGAATAGATCACCACGAATAAATATTACATTTTAATTCAAAATATTATATTATAATATACTGTTCCATATTAATAAAATCAAAATTTTGTAGATATCTATGATTTCGATTTCAAAGCAATGAAGAAAAATATGTTTGAAGAGGTTATCAATTTTACGGAAGATTCTCTTGTCGGTGCGCAGGATGAGAATTCACTCGAAGAGATCAGGTCCCAACAAATAGAGCCCTACAGTACTTTATATCTTAACATACTAATACTTTCATTTTATCACTTTCTTATGAATACTTTCATACGTTTCAGATACGTTTCTGTTAGGATTCGTATATTTGTGATTACATTTAAATTTGAAAGGCTTAAATAACATAACCTCATCTATGATACGAATTGTACCTGAATAAACTTATTAATGCTTTTCTCATATTCAAACGCCTCATAGAGAGTAGCGTTTTCGAGTAATGCATTAATTATCAGAATTCGCCAGCCCATTGTTAAAATATTGACGTTTCGATAATTAATTCGTTTTAGTTACTGTACGTTCGCTTATCATCGAGAATCGGGTTGTACTATTTCAAAATTTACGTCATAAGAGTGACGCACCATTCCACTCTATTTTTTTTTTTCAATCAACATACTTTCAATATTGGTTTTTTTTATTGCTATGTTTCTAAAGTTTCTCATCGTTGAATTATTTGCTATTAGTGCCGAAATGAAAAATCTAAAAAATACCTAAAAGTTTCAGCGATCGTGCTGAACATATTTTCTGTGCCATTGTTTCACCAAACCTTCTTGTTATTATTGTCATCAATTATTAAATTATTGTCTATGAAGGTTTGGCAATTGATTATTGTCTGCATATATGTTCATATAAATAACTTTCTCAATTCCATAAAGTTTATAAATAAATAGCAATAGCTTAAATATTTTCTTAAAAAAGATCATTATAACTTTCATTTGTTTTTATAAATTTGGCCTTTCATATCCACATTTTTCCTTATAATTTAAACAGTGGATATTTTTAATTAGTAGATCAATTACAAGTTTATAAAATATTTACTTTCATTTCACTTTTTGATATCATTTTTTGATTTTCTATTTTTGTTTCTATTTAAATATTTTTTTTTTTAAAAATTGTTCGATATTTGATTTTCTTGTCATTCTAATAATTTCCTAAATGGTTCTTTTTGTGCAGCTAAATTTCTTTTTACGTTTATTTCATTTGTGTATGCATCAACAGCACCATACCCTGCACTCTTAGGTATTGCAAAAAGAGAATATTTGCTTAATTCAGAATATAAAGCCGACAATACTGTATCAATATAAGATAAAATCAAAAGTTAATAGGAAATTATTTCGTATTCATTCAACAAGCTTCTAGTACTTCAATTTCACAATAGTTACTTACTTTTACTTTAACTTAGAAATGTAACAAAACCTATATTTCATCCTTTGATAAATATTTTGATTTTATTTATATTTTAATAATTAAACTTTTGCTGAAACTATGAAAAAGATACGCATTTCTTATAAAAAAAATTAATCCTCATAATTATATTTAATATACATTTAAAATTCTCAATCAAAATATATATTTACGTATATTTTTCTACAGCAAAAGAATTATTTGTTTGATTAATTTTTAGAAAAAATAAGTAACTACTTTTTGTAAACATTATAAAAATATTTCCCATCTAACCTAAAAGAAATCTTTTTTCTTAATAAACAATGAATAGAAAAAGTAGTGGAAGTACTAGATGCAATTATGAAATAAACGTAATCGATTAAAAAATGATCGGTCAGCTTAAACATATTTCCTTACGTCCGTCCAATTAGTTGAGGGATCGATGAATTTAATTCCACTGTTGATTCTGCTGTGTTACATCATACGCATAATCATTAATCGTTGGTGGTTGTACCAGGCTCGCGTTTATATCACTGGCGAAGGGATTCGTCGAATGGAAGGGATTGTTAGTGTTGGTTTCTGTCGACCCATAACTTATCACTGGTTTCTCCTGTTGAGCATACATATTGTCCACGGGTTGTTGATCATAATTACTCCAATCATCGGTTGCTCCACCTCCCATGGATGGTTGTTTCTATGAAAGGAAAACAATATTAATTCATACAAAATATCCTGTTTAACGTTTATCTTACTTTCGAAGTAAAATATTAATAATCGATTTCACAAGGAAATAACTTTTCTTTTGAATACCGTTAAGAATCTTACGAAAGATTTTTACGAAAATTTTCATAAAAATCGATTCAAATTGTATGAGTAATAATCAAACGCAATATCGATTTGAGAATCGAATATTCAGATATCACGATACGAGACTATCGATATTTCGACCGATTCCGCCCGAACTTTTCCGATCTCTTCCGAGCTCGAAATCTTGAGTATTCATACACCTTTTAAATAGATTATATTTATTTCAAGTTTATTATTATTAGATTTAAAATTAGAAAATGAATAATTCGATTTTATCGATTATTGTTGTTAAATATTCGTTAATATTTTCACAAATAATTATTGATAACATAAAAAAATAATACATACGATAAATTCGGACTGCATAGTGCTCGGTGGTGGTGGGATAGGTGGCTTTGCTTGTCCAAATTCATCCATAGCGAAATTCTTCTGTTCTTCCATACTGGGATCAGCCCAAGGTTGTAGCTCACCGGAACAGAATATCGCATAGAATGTTACGCCGAATATGTGGACGCATGCCGCTATAAGAAACACGTTTTTCCAACTCTGAGTATCCTGTAACATAAAATTAATGTTAGTTTTCTTCTTTCTTTTCTAGATAATCGGTTCATTCACGCGATGAATTCGTACGAAACGATACGGAATAATAACCTTTTTCTCCGTGATGTGGTCTACAAAGATGGGCACCAGCAATCCCGCTATCGTGCCGACTCCATTCGACATCCCCATCAAGATACTGGCGTATCTGGGCGCAATGTCCAAATGGTTCACGTTGAAACCGGAGATGGCGAAACCACTGCATGCGACCCCGAACGCCAGCGCGATAATCGCCGCCATTCCATTCTTTTTCGTCGTCGCATGGGCAACCACCAAAAAGAAAAGAGCCTCCATACCGAAACCGCCACAATTGAAGAGCTTCCTCACATTCGTCGTCGATAATATTCCACGCTTGCGAATGTGATCGGCCAACAGTCCTCCCAAAGGCACGATCATTGTCATCAATAAATGAGGAAGCGAGCCGATGACACCAGTCTAACGTGAAAATCAATTTTTTTCTTTTTCCATTGATTTATAAAACAATTTATAAATACACCTTCTTTTTTTAATTTTAGAAAAAATTTTTGAAAAATGATCGTTCGGATGGAACTTACTTCGAGTAGAGCCATGCCGAAAGCTTCGTGCATGAAACGAGCTTGAAAAAGCACCAGCAGATAGAAATTCCAGGATCTGCAGAAATTAGCCACGATGATGGCGTGCACCGGCATCGAGGTCAAGAATTTCCGCCAAGGTGTCGTGGCGAACGTCGGCATCGCCATTTGGGTTTGCCCCTGGCCAAGGGAATCCTCGATGTAACGAAGCTCGCGCGCCGAGATGCAAGGGTGTTTCGACGGCTTCTCGAACGCTAGCCACAACCAGAAACAGTACCAGATCAATCCGCACATACCTGAAAATACATTTGTCATTTGTTACACGATCGTAAAATTTTAATCGCAAAATTTTAACGATTGAATATTTTTCCAGCCGTCTGTTCACAATCTGTTTAAACTATCGCCAAGAAAATTATTTGGGATGAAATCGTGGCATACCGTAAAAGTAGAAGGACGCTGTCCAGCCGAAGATCGTGGTCAAACAGCCGGAAAGCGGCATTCCTATCACCATAGCAGCGTAGGAACCGCAAAACGCCAGCGTTGCTAAACGAGATCTCTCCAACGGTGGTGCCCAATACTTCCAAATACCGTGGCAAGCTGGATACGTGACACCCTGAATAGGGAAAAGAAGGATTGTGACAGATTGTTTCGGATTTTACCAAACAAAGTAATGGTGACAGATTTTCTTTCTTACCTCCACCAAACCTTTTATAACTTGTACGATCATGTCGACGATGGGGTCAACTTTCAGCGCGCCGGGCACCAGCAGGTTCAAGAACGAGGATATGGCGATAGCAGCACCGAATATCTTGTTCGCGGGATACAAGGAAGCGACGAATCCTCCTGGCACTTGGGTCAGCAGATAGCCCCAGAAGAAGGACGAGTCAAGGGCGCTCTCCGTTCCAACTGTCCAGTTGAACCTGAGAGTGTGGTTGTCATTGTCTTCGGTGGCATTCTTCATGGCCATCTTGGCCATGCCCATGTTACACCTCATACCGAACGAGATCACAAATCCTGGAAATAATTTACAATGTTTCTTCGTTTCTTTTTTTTTTTTTTGGATTTTGACAAGGTGTGAAATGTTCATTTCGGAGAAAGTATTCAATCCATTCAATTACAGGATACGTATGTCAAAATTAAGGTATTTAATTTCAATTCTTTGGTATGACTTGGATTTTTGTGAAGAAACTTAATTAATTTATATTATGATATTATAATCTGACTTAAATTTTGTTATTTAAATCAGGTGCTGTATTCTGCTATTTCTTGTGGATTTCATTAGTATAAACAGATTAGCAAAAAATTAAATGAAGAATAGAGAGAGATGAGAAAGTGTGTTTAAAAATTTACCTATACAAGCCAAAGTGGCAATGGTATATCTTTTCGATAGACAGGGGCATTCTGGCTTGCAGTAAGTATCAATGTGACGCAATGGGGGCCGTTCAGGTTCCGGGAGCGATTCAAACGAGGCTTGTCTACTGTATTCTCTCTCATCTTCGAATCCCTTATTGTCTTTGCTACCCTCACGGGGCGTTTCGAATTCCTCGTAGCCAGCATTGCTTCTTCTGAACCTGAAGTCGCAAATTTTGAAATTAAATTTTCACAAAAAAAAAAAAAAAAAAAAAATAAGAAGGATCCTTTTCAAAAGAACAAACAGATACTCAATCTTTAATGAAAGATCTGAAATTTCAAGAATCATGTTAAAGCTAGGATCAAAGAAAATTATATTAAAACAAATTAAATGAAATTTCATTCGTGCTTTTAAAGATTATAATTTATATAATTTTTTGAGCAGATTAAAATTCCTCTTTCATAGATATTCGATAAAACTCATTGAAAGAAATTGTTTCAATTATTAAAAAAAAATACAGATATTATATAACGAGGAAGTGGAGAAAATCGTGTGGAACATGTGGGTTTAATTAACGCGCATAGTCAGAGGAATGGATGGCTGGATATAGCTTTAAACGATTTTTCGTGTGTTGTACAGCGTTGTATACGAGCATGCGTGACATTACCCAGCTAGTTTTTGCGATGCTTTGGACTTGATGGAATCGAAAGCCACGAGACCCGCCGCAGCGAATCCGGACATTTTCCAATTATTGGGGTTGCTCTCTGGCTGCAAATGGTCGCGTTGACAATTGGCAGCCCCTAAAGTACACGAAGATGGATAGATCTCATGCATAAATTTCATTATTAACAGAAATATATAATAAAGGGATATGTATCTCAAGATATGTAATAAATTGATTCATAATTGATTTATCCAGGTCAAGAAGTAAGTAATTACAAAATTATTTCTATCCCTGATATTCAAAAATTTATATATATTCTTGTATACCTACCTCTTGACATTCAAAATATTATAATTGTTACAGATATTATCACAATGAATCACAAGTCAAAATAATTTAGTGAAAACTTTTAATACCAAAATATATTATTAACATTTAACATTTAAGTTAGAAATCAAATCATTAAATTTGACTATAAAAGG